TATTGAACAATGGTTTTAAATCAGAAGCTGTGTCCAGAGTGGCTTGGGTGGAATTGATTTGTTAATGATATTGATTGATTAAAAAGTCAATTTAAAAGACAAAAACTAGTGACCTATATATTGAATTTTGAAGCCCAAAGCTTTAAGTTATTACGTTTTCCTCATAATTAATTATTGCTTACTTTTATTTCTATATTTTTTTTATATCCATATCTATTAATTTATGTTATTCATTTTTCTTGAACTGTTAATTATTTAAATTAATAAAGTTATAATTTTTTACAACATCAAAAACTTGATTGACCACAGACACTTGAAGGAGCATGCATTTACCTTTATTTTCCAATAGGTGAGAGAAGAGAGGAGATACAAGAATAACAATGATCTTGAAAGTGAAAACATGAAGAGAAGGAGAGGATTGGAATAGCTAAAATTTTAAATAATTAGGATACAAAGAAAATTTAAAATTACACAAAAATTATAACAAAACATGACTTTAAATTTAGATCAAATTCAAATCCATAAACTTTTATGTATGTAAACAGGGGATTTGGCTTAAATAGAAATTCAAATCAAAATTCCCATACATTCAAACATAACATTAGTCATAGTTGGGAAAAAAAAATCAGGGACTACCAAACATTTTATATTTTGAACAAAGCAAGACTTTCAAAAAATGCCCTTAGTTATGGGAATGAGTAGTGTTTTTTTTTAGTGGAGTTAGGAAAATCTTAAAATTCATTTTTAGCACCACATACTTAAGGTACTTATTTTTAATTAAATAAAGAATATATGTGAATATTTTACACATTTTTTATTCTATAAAAAACTTTTATTATTGATTTTTTCAACACATTAAAACTCAACTGTTTTAATTTGATCAGATAATGGTATATTAAATATTTAAGATCAATTGGATATTTGGTATAGGTGCAATTCCTTGTACTTAATGTACATGCTTCCAATCAATTTAACGCGTGGATTTTTTTTTTGGTAGATTATTTATACTAGAATAATTTCTTTTTATCGATATAATTTGTATTTTAAACTTCATTTATTTTGATTTGATTGAAAAAAAAATATATTAAGCATATAGAATTAAGTATATAAGTCTTTTTTTAATATTTGATCTACCACTAGTTTTGTAACGTATAGTAGGTATATATTGTTTAGTATGCTAGTCTGTTCTTTTTTTTTTTTATAACGTAATTTTTTTATTTTTCAAATTTATGTAAGGTTTTATTTTGATTCTTAATTTTATGAAATATTCCTTCATTTTCTTAACTCTAATATCAGTTTCATTAGCAAGAAATGCTACCATTAAACTTTTAAATGTTGACAAAATATTTTTAAATGTTGACATATTAAATTTTATTTTTAAAATACATTGATTGAAAAAAATATCATTTAAAACTAATGATGTTAAGTTAAAAACTATAAAATGTTTTATAAAAGGGTTAAATAATAATTTGATCTCCAAACTATAGCTTTAGAAGTGTTTGGGATTCTAAATTTATTTTTTGTGCAATATTCATAACTCCTAATATTAATAAAAGTTAATTTTAATTCTTAGTTGATCATAATAGAAAATGACATCAATAATTACAAAAAAAAAAGAATAAAAACTTTTATTTGTAATTTTATGTAACTTTGTGGGTCATTGTCTATAAATTTTAAGTCATTTTTTACAAATTTTTTTGTTCTTTTTAATCATCTAATGATCAAAATTAAATTTTATTAATAATAATGCATTGTATAGTTTTTAAAAATTTAAAAATATTATAAAAATAATTTTAGGATTATAGACTTATAATTTAGGGGTTAATTTATTTTTTTAATTTTTTAAAAAAATTAAGGAACCAAATTAAAATTTTATATATGTGCACTTTTAATAATTTTATTAATATATTAATATTAATATGATGAATCAAAATATTTAAATTATATATATAAATATTTAACATGGAGTCAAATACATATGATTTATAAAAAAGAAATAATATCACATTACCGAAAACAAATATCACGGTTCACGAGTAGCAGACTGACACTGGTCCCCTTGAATAAAAGCGGGCTCCGTCCTTTGGTCTTATTAAGATGTGTATGGAACCATGGATCATGTTTCATTCAGTATTCTTTTGTAATTTTTTTTAAAGTTTTGCTAACATTTATAATTAAGAATTAAAAAGTAACAGTTTTTATTGCCGAGAGCCCATCACAATTAAATTAATAATTAAAATTATTAAGAATTTTTTAAAAAAGCACGTATAAAATGCAGGAAGAGGGGAAGCAGAGACACCAAAAGGAAGAGAGACGGCGGGTACTTGTGATGATTCTTCTCTCATACCAATCATCTATTTGAAGTGGACGCTGCTACTTCGAGTGAGCAAAATCGATCTCCTGTGACTTGGATTTAAGGGAATAAAGAAAGATATTGGATTGTGATCAGTAAGAAGAATTTAATTGCAGCTGATATTGTGATGGATTTCAATAATGACAAGTAAAATTCTGTGTTTCTATATGAGTTCTTCCGAAGGCACGCATGATTTGTTTAGTTTAACAAGCTACACTTGAATGCTTTCATTTTTTGTTTGCAGATGTTGATTTTGGTTATTCACATATTTTTCTTCTTTAATTTGGAGCTTTTGTTTTTTTAATTTGAGAAATGAAATAGGTTCCCTTTAATTAGCAGTATTTTCAGCTCTCATGTAAGTCTTTTTTTTGGACTTCTCGTTCTGCTCTTATTCTGCATTTTAAAAGAAAGCATCACATGCTGAAAAATGTTTCTGTTTGATAAGGTAATTTTCTATATGTATATTAGTTTTACTCGAGATTGTTCGATGTGTGTGAGGTTGTAAAGGATAAAGAAAAGGTGAGAATGTGGGCTCTGATTTAATTGGGGCCTTAGGGTTATCATTTTATCCCCTTCCTCTTTTTGTTTTTTCCCCTTTCCCCTTTTTCCTTTTGGAGTTTTTCCGTTACTCACATCATCAACAGATGAAGAAAAACCACTTAAACCCAAACACACTCTTAAGTTGAAGCTTGTGAAGCTCTTTTGATGTGACAATAAAAGAGTCGGTAGATAGACAGTAAATGAGTTCACAAACACTTCAATTTTAGAGGATCCAGATTAGCTTTTGCTCTCTGTTCTTCAGATGTCTCTTTAGTGTCATTGTACTACATTTCATTGTTGGTCATTGCTTCTTTAGTTTACAATGTGGTAAATCTTTGTGCCATTTACTTTTTGCGGGATTGTCTTCAGTTATAAGTATGATGTCTAGAATCATTCTCCAAGGACTGAACTCATCCCAACTCTTGAGAATTTTTCCCCATTAGTTTTGGTTCTGCATCTTCTTTGATATTTCTCTGACATCTTCTGTTCTGTTGTTGTGAACTTTTTGGCAATTACTTATCTGTTATCTATTAATGGTGGAAGGGAGCCGTGGGGTTGGCAAAAGGAGGTCAATTGTTTACAAAAGACATCCACTTTTGGTAAGTCTTTCAATGGTAACAATACAATTCTTAAATGACTGATCCCTGAGAGAATTGTATTGTTTTGACCAGACATGTCTCAGGAGCTTTGGAATGAAGTGCCTCAAAATGAAGACGAGAGTTCCCACGTGTTTGATGATGAAACAACCCCAGTTAAGGCTTGTGGGGATTTGGCTTACCGTGTTACTTACAGTGGTAGGACAATTCTCTGGCAGGAAGCAGATTTCTTGACGTTATCTTAAGTGTTCTTTTTCTTTTTCTGATTTAAATGAAGTTGAATTTCAGGTAATATAGTAAAGGAGCCAGAGGAATGCAGGGAGACCTCTCTTCTCAAGAGACGTCGGATGCTCCAGTTCCACTTGCACAGCAATGACGTGCATGTTTCTCTTTCCAATGAAGAGATGTCTTCAGCATGCTTGAAATTTAATGATGTCAGTGCTAATTTTTTTTTCTTGAGTGGCATTCACATTGAACTATTCAAGCTATGTGCAAAAGAGACTCTAAAAATGACTGGCTTTTTAGATTCAAATGCTGAATAGTTACCAGACTGATGACTTGTGCAAATATTTGAAGTTTGTCTGAGATAAATTGCATGCTAATTTTTGTTGATTGGAAGAAAAATACTTCAGGCTATAACTTGATGTAACTTGTCTGCTTATTTCTGTAAGATCTATCTTTTCTGATGTTAGACCTATATCTTCCATAACTATTGTTATTCACAGTTCTTTCCTCTTCATGTTATTTTTAACATATATTGGCATTTAGGGTCGCTTTCTTTTCCCTTTAAAATACCTTAGTTTCTTTTTTACATGTTCGGTTCAGACCTCTGTGTCTCTGTCACAGAGATTGTTTAGCGGTACATATGCTTTGCATGAGTCCTTCTCATATGATGTGTCTTAGTTCTTTATGTGATAGGAATTTTGCTTGTATTCCACCTCAATCTATGTGCTTAATTTGTTTTTATTGTTTTTGTTGAAAAAGAAGCTTGTTAGAAAAGAAGTGAATTATAGAAGGGGATAAAGACAACCATCTGGAAGGAAAAATCCCCAAGAAAAGAGGAGGGAAACTGGGAGAAAAACGATGAACTTAAGATCAACTATGAACAAAAAAGTGAAGGACAGCAAGAGAAACTATCCTTTCCCTTAAGTCATTTAATGTAGCTAAGGCTCCATTAAAAATTCTAGCATTCCTTTCTAACCAAAAAAAGAGATCACAGCAAAAACTGGGTATTACCACAGAATGCTGCCGTCATTGTTCCTTCTCAAGTGATTATACCAAATCAATGAAAATTGATCCATTCACTTTCTGCAGATACTCAACTTAACAAGAACTTGTTCCAAACAAAGTAGCCGTGCTACATAGTTGTTTCAGAATTTGGACTTTCCCTACTCAAAAAACAAATAATAGCGGAAAGTGCATTATTTGGCTTTGGAACTTGCAGCTTTTCACAAGTATTTATTCTGTTGGGTACTGCTGTCCACACAGAGGATTCCACTTCTAGGAGAGTTTTAGATTTCCAATTAAATGCTTCAAGTAAAATGGTTTCTTGCTGGGAGAAGAAGTTAAGAAATCAAAATTGCACTCGCCAAATCATAATGCAAGCTCTCTTATCTGAAGAGGAAGAAAGATGAATAGGCTAAAGAGCCTGAAGTTCATGGTTTCTCTATCAGAGGGATTTGTGGCAAAATGAAGATTCCAATTAAAAAAATATTTCTGGAAAGACCAAAAATCTCAAATGAGAGAGTTTTGCAATGTGGAAGATGATCCAAATTTGAGAAAGCTTGACTAAAGGAACATTCCCAATCCTAAGATCCTCTCAAATTCTGTTATGCACCATCACCCAAATTACATGCCACAGAAGTTCTAAAAAAGTAATGTGCTTAATTTTATTTTATTCTTGCTATTTAGAGCTCATCTTATTGAGTTGGCGTTGGCAATTGAGGATAATGCTCTGTTCTTCACATTTTTGCTTGTCAAGTGTGTCTGATAGTGTCATAGTGATTTGGCTGAGAATCTTTCAATACAAACTAGAGTTGTGGAATTGCCTGATTGTATAATTCATGCTTCTTTTCTTATCTAGGGGAAGGAGGACTTAATCGAAGATGCTTTCCCAGACATCTCACAGTGGGTGCCTGGAACGTCAGGTTTGCCTCTTGAATGATTATCTTCTGATAATATTTGTGGATATTTATTTCTGATGTTCCCCATTCATATTGGAATATGCATTAGGAAGTGCTTCTGCCTCCAGTTATGAGGACCTTGAGCTGTCAGCTGAAGGATGGCTTGCAGAATGCTTTAATGATGCTGAAATGGAATTCAACACTGATTATATGTATGCTTCTTTAGATGCAATTTAGCCCTTTAATGATTTGTGTCATAATGTTGCCTATTATGAATAATGATCTGATGATTATGCCTTTTGATTCAGGAATGTTTCAGGGGCAGGTGATGTTCAGATTGATGTTGCAGGTGAATGAATTGTTAGGATATTCACGGCTGGTTACTCATGACAGTTCTTCCTTCCTTCACTCTCTTTGGCTTTTCACTTGGTTTACTCATAATTTTTTTACAGAGCTCTGCGACATCCAACCGGCAAATGAGCAAAATGTGGTTAAGCAGCATGCTACTCGACCACACAGAAATGTTATCTTCAAAGGTTTGACTTTCTCTGTCTTTTTGCCTTCCTTGCAAACTTACAATTTCACTGGACCTTTGCTTAATTTCACTTCTAGACATAGTTTTGAAGCTGGTGGAGCCGATTTAGCCTACATTGAAAAATACTATATATATGCTTCAAATTTAAGATAATATTTTTGAAAAAATAGTAATACTAATACTGATAATGTATATTATTTTCACTAAAGTAATATTGAATGTCTGAATCATAGAACAACAGAAAACAAATATTTTTTTTTTTTATATTAAAGAAAGATCGATATGATTCAAGTGATGGCTCCCTCATTCAATCGTCGAGTGCTACATTTGGTACCATAGAATGGGAAGGAATGGATTGGAAAGAAAATGAAAAAGTGAATAAAATGCATGGAAGTTGATACTTGTGCACCTATTTGAGAGAAAAAGTCATCAAAAGGAACATTTTCATTGAGTAATGATACTAAGGGTATAATAGACATTACATATAAGGTTCCTTTACTCATTGGGGCAATCAAATCTGCCTAGTGAATGTAACTTTATCCAGTTCAATTGTAAATATAGTCTAATTATTATAAACAGACTGGTTTCAACCAAGTCGATTTAGATCCTATATAACTATGCTTTCTGGAATTATCTTTCAACTTCAATGACATGGACGTTTAGCTGAATTTCCTTGCATGCTATGATGTAATGATGCATAAAACGTGAAGCATGCTTTTATATATGTAATGTATGTCCCGCCCCCCCCCCCCCCACCTTTAAAGTTGGACTTATTTTACATGTGTATGTAGGAAGGAAATCTATGATACAGATGCCAACCAAGTTGGCAACTTCTGTGGCGTATCCATTTGCTTTCATCAAACCTAGTGGTGCCCAAGGAGATGTCACTCTGAAGGAAATAAATCAGCGGATACAAACTCGGACATATTCGAAATCCAAGCCAAAAGTTGAAGATCCATCTTCTTACCCTAAGTCAGCATTTTCTGGGAAACCTGTTGTAGGCAAAACGAAAATTCGTACAGAAGGAGGAAAAGGTAGCATCACAATCATGAGAACTAAAGGCTGAATTTAAATTGTTGAGTCATACCCTAGCGGGGTTGAGCTCATTTTCTGTAATATCTATACATATATATATGACATGTACAACATGAAATTGTAATTTTTGTTCTTTTTAGCTATTGCATCTATAAATTACACCACCTTTATGCTTGTTTCCTTGTAGGATGTAGATGTTTTATAGATGTTTATTGATGCCTTAGTGCCTGAGCTAAGTCTGTAATGAGATTCTTGATCTTCCTGAAATTTCCTTTTTCATAAAACCTTAGTGTTTGGCCGTGGGAACTTTTGGGCTAGAAGTAGGTATTGGGCTAGGGAAAATAGGCATCCGCCGTTCATTAGTTAGGCCCAGCGAAATGAGGGGAGCAGTCAAGATTAAATGAAATGATGCGCTCTGCATCGCTACCCAGAAGTGTATTTCGACCACGATCCCTTTTATTTCAGAGCATTCTACGGCCACAGGAAGCAATTCATGACCAACTGAAGGAAGAGCAGTTGCCCTGGAGGATTGGCAGGAACAGTTACAAGTTTGAAAGAGAGTTAACTGTTCTACCCCTATTTAAGACAAAGCACAACACGAGAATGATAGCAGCACTCAGACCAAGCACTTTAGACAACTTGCGGTTGGAAACTCCATATTTCACATCCTAAAAGTGCTTTTTTATTTTGGAGATGTAAAATGTTGTTTGGGATCAATTTATCATATGAAAAAATTTTTGGAAAGGACTTCTAGGATGAGGTGAAACGTGGAGTTTTCAAAGCTCCATTAAGTAGCTTTTTAGATGTGAACGTGATCAACAGATTGGTATCTACTTTTGCATTTGACCATAATACCTTTCATTATTTTCATTCTTGTCGTGCACACCTGAGGCTTGTGTTTATTGTCACTCTCATCTCTTATACTCGAGCTCTCCCATCTCACGCCTCCTCTTTGCCATCTCTCCTCCGTGTCTCCACATTCTTTTGGTCATAGATCGAACTTGAGTCCCTCCATTTCTTTCTTTCCAAGTTTGGTTTCTTATTTTGTTGGTGTCTCGAGCTTTGTCTCATCCGTCTCTCCTTTACGTCTCCTCCATCATCTTGATCTTCTTTTATTCTTTTAACCAAAATCTGCTCCTTCACTAGAAAGACATTCTTTGCTTGAAGAAGAAAGGGGAAAAAATTATTATAAAGTTTGTACAAGGAAAATTTGTATTTTAAGTCCTATAATTTACCCTAATTTCAAATTAATACTCATAAGTATTACTTTTTTCAAATTAACAGTTTAAAGATTCTATTAAAAATCAAATTATATATTATAGATTGAACCTTAATGTAACTATTCAATATTAATGAATATTAAACTATTTATTACATAATTTTTTTGAATATTAAATTATATAATTTTTATTCTTATTATTTAACATCTTAAATTTTATGTTATTGAAAATTTTTTTGACATTTTTAAAACATTTCTAATATATAATATTTGTATAGAAAAAATTATAAATTATTATAAATTAATGTTCTTTTTTATTATTGTATATTCAAAAGTACATTCAAAAGCATAAATTTTTATTAATTTAAACAATTTTGAGTTTATCAAACTGACTTTTGAAAAAATATATCCAAACATAAATTTTATTACAACAACTGACTTTTATTAAATTAATTTTTATCAAATAAATTTTTACTAAATTGACTTTTAACAAATTAAAAATCAAACACACTTAATTAACCATGAAGCATTACCATGAACTTTGTGATGTAGTTAGCTTAGTGTAGATCAACCTACGAGTAGGCATAGCTCTTTGCACTTCTCTTTCTAGCATAGTATTCATCCATTTTCCTTTAATACAATTTGATTTCTTGATTTGCATGATCCTCCATAGAAGTGGTAAAAGTTTAGATGATCCAAGAAAATTGAAGTAAAATACCTTGAGAATTCACAAACATCACAATTGAAGACTAGTTCTTTTGGCACGCCTGATGCACATGGGATGATTTTGGCTATTTCACACTAACAAACTTTTTTTGTGCATTGTGTGAGATGATTTTGATCGTTTCATGCCAATATTTTGAAGTTTTAATTTCACAAAACTTATGACAAGTTTTTAGGTTCTTGAGTAATGTTCCAAGAAACAAAAACTTGTCAGTGACTATTAACATGTTCTCTAAAGTCTCATAAGTCATAATTTTTATAACTTATGAATGACATAGTTATCTATAAATTTTATGTAATTTGTTAATATATATTGATGTTTCAACTTTCAAAGCTAAACTTAGGTGCTACTGCCAGTGACTATTAACATGTTCTCCAACATAAAATTGACAAATGATTTTTTTTTTTTATAATTTAGCATTATATACTTGGCATGCTAAGAAAAAATTTTTCACAATGTTTATTGAAAAGAAAAAAAAAACTTACTGGCAAACATCTAAATACCCTTGCTATAAAAAAAAAATAATCTAAATGCTCTTATCCAGAGATGGATGGTGTTCATTATTTCACAAAATTTGTGCCTTATTCCTGTAAACAAACTATAATGCCAAGTGGAAATGTTATTTTTTTTTCTTGAAAAAGAAAATGTCACATTTGTTGTCTACAATTTTTGACAATTTTAAAATCCAAAACTTTTTTTTTATTCACCTTCAAAACTTTGGCGTAATGTTTGGTTTAACAAAAACAAATATTGTATTATTTTAATATTCTCTCGTTTAGTTTGGTGGGAAAGAACAGAATATATTTTAATATTGTATTATTTGGTTTTGAATGAAAAGAAAGGGAAAATAATAAAAAATTATTTAAAAAAGAATGGTTAGGTCACAATTCATCAATTTCTTACTTTATAAATTTCAACATAGAACTCCTGCATTATTTACTTAAAAAATATCATTATAAGTGTATTCTTTATATATTTTTTTGAAATTATAATATTATAATGTGATGTCATAAATGCACAGATGGTGGGATGGAGAAAGTAGAGCTGAACAGAATATTTGATTTTTTAAAATTATAATTATCTTTTAGCTGATAAATTATAATTATTTAATATATACATATATACATACAGTGTTTTTTGCTAGAGGATATACATAATATAATGGTTAATATTTAGTTATATTTATTTACATTATGAAAAAACTAATGAAAATTATGAAATTCAATTTGTGTTATAAACATAAATTATTGTAAATCACAGTTATAGTCATTTAGATTAAAATTATTAAAATGATTAAAATACATATGCATATTAGCAATGATATTATTTGAGTATTAAATGTTGATAATTTTTTATGGAAGGATTCAAATTTTAGTTCAGTGTGAGAAATTAGCATTGCTAGTCTTAACCCTCATTGATAAAGTGTCTTATTTTTTGTTTTACTTATTTACATGTATTTTTTTATTGAGAATAATCATATTCCAAATAAAAAAAGAGATCAAGTATTTTGAAATTGAAATCAATAATTATTCCAATACAACCTTCTCTTCTATTAAAGATTAGCCATTGATGCACGATGAGGCCATTCATTTTTTATTTATTTGGTTATAATTTTTTGAATAGTTTACCCTCATTGTGTCAAATTCATATAAAAAAACGGAATAGTTGTTTTTTTCATGTGAATCTGACTTTTCAAGTATTTCAAAAAATTTATAAGCTTGATCTATACAGTAACATCACATGATGAAGTATTAAAAGTGATACCTTCTCTGCGGAGATTCCAACATTGATATGTTAAAATGTCTTATCTTACAATATAGTTAATTACCTAACATTTAATTTCTATATTATATATTTTCTTAATAATTATTGTAAAACTAAAATAATACTCCCTTCATTTCAAATTATAAAATATTTTTAAAAAAATTTTTTTATTTTAAAATATAAAACACTATAAGTAGATTAAGGTTTCATTAAATACATCAATTTTTATATTATACTTTCTCTCTCTATAATTAATTTTTTTTAATATATTAAATAATAGATATTTTTAAAAAATTTATATTTTTATTTTAAAAAATAAAATTATTAAATGTATTTAATGAAATTTATTAATATATAAAATTTTATTTAAAAATATTTTATTATTTGATGAGAAGTGAGTACTCCTCTTCGGATCAATTTCCTTCAAGGGTAGTTCAGTAATTATGTCCCGGTTCCTTCCTTGCCCCAGCTCTCTCGGAAAGATAATAAACATCTCCGCTTAAAGGAAGCTAACTTCGGCACTATTCCTCTTCTTCCACTTTGTGTAATCAAACGTGCCAGCTAGCTTCGGCACTCTTCCTCTCGGAAAATTTCGCCGAAGGAAGATGGAGTTTGTTTTCGGTAGGGCTTTGCCTCTCTCTTTTGCCCGCCACGTTACATTCCTCCTCTCTTGTAATTGGCAGTGGTCTCGTTTCTATATTTTCTTCTCATGTTTAAATATTAATTTTTGGGCATTTCTCTGTATTTTCTGGTATTATTGCTCTTGGAAATTTAGGAATTTGTGTGAGACTCTGCATATATGGTTCATCTTTTGTTCCGTGATGCCATTATTTTTTGTATTATTATTATTATTATTATTATTATTATTATTTTGTTTCTCTATTTCAGTGAATTGGTGCATTTCAAACTTCTATTATTATGTTAATGTCTCATGACTAACTTGGCTGCTATATGTCAGGGAAGTATTAAGTATTTTTGTCAATGTCACGCTGCTCGTATCTTGCAGCCAAAAGTTGAAGCTTGTGATCTTATTACTGTGCTCACTGCTAAAAAAATGGAACTGTTGACCAAGGATTAGGCCAAAACTAGAATGAATATTGTGACCAGAATTGCAGCACAAGCATCCCCTCTTCTCCACGCTTATCCCATTCCCATCATCTCCATTCGAGGTGCCTTTTACTCATCACTGTCAGTCACAACCTCTCTTCCCATCTCTCTCCCCCTCTGTCTGTGTGTATTTTATTTATTTAATCGAACACTGCTAGTTGTTGAAATGGCTGACGGAGGGAATTGTATCTGTGCTTCTAGGGGCTTGCAAGTTGGGGTTCGTAGGAGGTTGAATAGAAAATTTTCCAGAAATATGGCTTGGAGTGTGGAGAATTCTGAGGTGAGTATTGAGAGCAAGATTGGGGTGCTTCGTCCAGCAACCGATGCTTTTGTTGCAGAGGCAGTTGAAGCTTTGAGATTTGGGAAGGTTATTGCTGTACCCACTGACACACTCTATGGGTTTGCTTGTGATGCTTGGTATGCTATCTTTAGTTCATGTTTTCGTATTTTGCAGACAACCTATTTGTTTAAAATCCTCATAGCATTATTATTATTCTTATTTTGGCATGCTGTTCCTTTATCGTTTCACTGATTCCCCCTCACCTCCTCTTGCCCACAAGGCCACAACCTGATTATTAATGTAAGGACCATAACATGCTGATTGTGCTGTCAAAAGCAAAGCCAACATTAAGTTATCCATTGGAAACATTTAGATCCATGAGATCCTGGACGGAAAACGGAAAATTTATTTAGATAAGACCAACAAGGACGATAAAAAAGGAAGTGATGGACTTGTACCTTATGATTTATGAAACCCCTTTTCCGTGAAAGCAAGAGGCTAAGTAATCATTCTATGTCACATTAATTTCCTTTTTATATCTCAGACCCATTAAAAGTTGGCTCTACATGATGTCCTTCCTTTTAGTTACCTTTTAAAGTGTTATTTAAAAGCAAAAATCATAAGCATTTCAAAGTTTCTGCATATCTCAATTATTTGCGTAAAATTGGATTTTGTTTGATCGTTAATTAACTTTTGCCTTTTACTGGAACATTTCACAGTTCATCGGATGCAGTTAACAGAATTTATGAGATTAAAGGACGTAAACATACAAGCCCCTTGGCTATTTGTGTTGGGGACGTGTCAGACATTGAGCGTTTTGCAGTAACTGACTATTTGCCTCACGGCCTCCTTGATGCCCTCCTTCCAGGCCCCGTTACTGTTGTGCTTAAACGAGGTTCGTCAGTCACATGCCATGCTAAAAAGCACATACAATAGATGAGAATATGATGCTATGAATATTTACATAGTCCTCAACTTGTTTAACCATACTAGTCAGTTCGAGAAATGGATTTGAATTTTGAAGCAGAATTAGTTTATATCTCGTTCTGTTGTCTAGCATCAATATCTTATTTGCTGGGATATTTTACAGGAGAATCAAGTGTTCTTGAGCAATCTTTGAATCCAGGACTTGATAGCATAGGGGTTCGAGTCCCAGACTGCAATTTTATTAGGGCCATTGCTCGTCACTCGGGTACTGCCTTGGCCCTGACCAGTGCAAACTTAAGTGGACAGTCAAGTAGTGTTTGCATCAACGATTTTCAGGACCTCTGGGGACATTGCGCCTATGTGTACAATGGTGGCCTGCTTCCATTGGGTCGTGCAGGTTCGACGATTGTGGACCTCACTGTACCACATAAGTATAAGATTCTCAGACCTGGAAGGTAGATTTTATTGAGCTAATTCTTCTCTTTCAAGTTTCTTAATTTGGTTTCAGAATGGGATGTTTTATGTCATTCTAATACCGAAGACTAGATTTTGGTTAGATAGTGTTCGTTTTCATATTTGGGATAGAATTGGTGGGAATTATATGAGATGCTTCAGGATGGTTCGTGTCTATATAGTAATATAACGCAGGCTATGAGAGTAGTCTACGACCCTCAAAGAGGGTATGCTACAGGCCTTTTTTTTTCTTAATTACTTATGGGTGTCTTTCTATTAAAGCCAATTCTATTTAAGATACAGTTAAATACTAAATGTGGACATATATCCCAATGAGGATTCGAACTTTGCTACATCCTGCTTTAACTGTGTTCATTCTCATGTTGTGTAGCGCAATGGAAGAGACAAGGGCCGTCTTGGAGAAGCATTCTCTAGTTGAAGAACTTGCCACTCTAAATGAGCAGTAATTGATGTGCAATGCCTCCATCTAGGCACGGCAGTTTCGACATTTCTTTCACTTGGTCCAACGTATGGCAAATTATGACTGCTGCCGCTGATTTCCCGGGCATGTTTTGTGTCTAAATTTTTTGGTCCTGGACACAGAATAATACAATGTAGCAATACAAGGTAGGCATATCTTGCGTTACCTGAAGAGATCAGTACTTCTAAGACATAGAGATAGGTTAGACCTCTATTCCCACCAACTATATGTATTATGAGGCTGTCTACGGAAGATTTATGTGATAAATTAACGTGCAATTTGTTTTGCATGAAAATTCGCTTGGAGATGTTTTTGTTGTCTTTAAGATTTTTGTATTGTATTATATTAGTTATGTTGGGTTGTCAAGTTTGAGTGGATTTGACTTGATATGGAGAGAAAGCCTCATATTGGATAGAGTTGGACTAAATAAGAGGAATATAAGTAAAAAGAACCCATAAACTTAATGTTTTAAGATTTTAGATTAAGATGTAGTGTCATACTCACTTATGTTCTTCTATGATGCTTCTTAGGCCTAGCTAGTGGTATCAGAACCTCCTTTTAGGAAGGGACCCAATGTAAAGACAATGGAAAAAGCATTGGAAGCCCACAAGTGCTGTCAGGTTCAATTATTTGTGGTAAGTTGGTATCTTCAAAGTGTGGGCAGATAGGGAGAAATTGTTGGGTTGTCAGATGTGAGCAAATAGGGGGAGCATATTTGTGTGATCAATGATGGATTCACACTTGAGGAGATTGTTGGATTGTCAAGTGTGAGTGGATTTGACTTAATGTGGAGAAAAAGTCTCATATTAAACAGAGGTGGGCTAGATAAAAGATATATAAGTAAAAAGGACATATAAACTCCATGGCTTAACAGTTTGGGTTAAAATGAGGTGCTATACTCACTTATATGTGTCATTTTGGAATCATTGGGTGGCCTAACTATGTTTTTTCCTCTTTTGTAATGCTCCTCAAGCCTAGCAAGTTATGAACAAGGGAAAGGTTATTTAGCTTTTTCTTTTTATATGACTATCTAACTAGGTTAGTTCAACCATTATTGGGCCTATTGGGGATAAATTTTTTTTATGCACATTGAAAAATGTTGAAAAGAAATTTGGTGTTGTTTTTAATTAAATAAAGTATTAAAGGGCAAAAATATTCATTAACTCTTTCTTCAATACTTTATTATCTTTAAGTCAACAAGAGTATGAAACTATACATGAATTTAGTTTAATGAGTGCAATTTTTCATGGATTGTGAAAAATGGCAAATTTTTATTGGTTTTGTAGAGTGGGTCTCCTCTCCATTTCTTTTCTTTTTCTTTTTCTTCCCCAACCTTCCTTTTCTTCTCTTTCTATCTTGCAAGAAAGAAACATACCTTGTTGCTATACCATGTGTTGGCGAAGTAGCGTCACTGCAAGAAGCTTAATAAAGGTTCATCATATTGAGATTGCTTATGCCCTTTATCACCAAAATGGACAAGGTATCCATATTGAGGGACACCATTGAGTGCATGACACAGAATCTGGAGGCTTGTAACCAGCAAATGGAAGTAGAGCAATAGTTGAAGGAGCAATAAAGGAGCTTGACAGATGAGGATTGTGGAGGGGAGTGGAGGGAGGGGGAAGCCAAAGACAGCAAACACATCTCTACCATTGGGGGAGGTGACGTCGATGCAAGTGTCGATCACAGAGTACAATATGCTGCTGGAGTTGGAATGTGAGAACAAGGAGGCATTGTTGTTGGATGTGATGTAAGTGCTAAGAGAGATGAGGATAGAGGTTATGAGTGATGACGGTGCAGTTGTTACTGAACAACATGGTGCTCGTGGTAGAACTTAGGGAAAAGGTGAAGGAAATTTCAAACAAAAAGAAGGCTAGCATAGTTGAAGTGAAAATGGCCGTCAACCAAATCATACCCCACAATGGGTTGGTTCAACAAATGAAATTGGCAAGCATGAAGGTATAGTGGGGCAAGTAAAGATGCGCAAAAGAAGACAATGGGTTTGGAGAGGGGGAAAGAGAGAAAGAAAAGATAAGGAAAGGAGAGATTGAAAGCTAATGAGAAGGGGGATGGGTTGGAAGAGACAGAAAAGAAAAGAAAAAAAGAGATGGAAGTGGATCGTGGATCATGAGAACTTGACACCTGGCATGATTATGGAACTCATTCCACAAAACTAACAGTTGTTTGTTCATTTTTTCACAGTTCAAAAAAAAAAATTGCACTTATTAGATCAAACTTACGAATATTTTTGCACTTTTGTTCACTTAAAAATACTAGATGTTTTTGGAAAAACAAATTGATGGGTATTTTTGTAAAATTTTAAAGACAAAAAGCACCCTCAAACAAATAAAAAGTCTTCATTTTCACTAACTACCAATAAGAACTTCGCGGCCAAAATAAAGATCAAAATACTCTATGTCAAATGTCATCCTCAATAAACACGCTATGTTTTAACCATTAACATTCGTTTAAAACCAATACACAAAAGGGAATGAAAGCTTTGTGGGGAGAAGAATGAATTAGACCATTGAACAATAATCACTTTGGCAAGGGTGAAGGTAAGTAGATGAAAAAGCTGATGAATAATGAAATCAACAAAACCCATTTGCATTAAAAGTGCAGGTGAACAGATTTGTTCCAAATGAACAGAAGTTGAGACAACCATGAAAGCTAGAGAGGAAGATGTAGATCTATGGAGGGTTTGATTTTATGTCAGAATTTTTTAGTTGGCTTTTTTCCATTCATGACCAAAGAAAGTTTTATGAAACATCTTATCCTATTTGTTCACATCGATAGGGAAATTTGCTCACGTCTTCATCGGATCTTGGCCAACTTTATATCAACGAATCATTTTTTGTTGATTTTATGGTGTTAATACAAAACAATAAGTAAACTCACCAATTTTTCACATACACTTGTCATACTTTACTTCTTTCTTCCTTTTTTAAAGAACCTGTTAACTACTTTATATTAAGAAAGCAGGTTACTTTAGTTAAAAACAATACCATGTGTCAATAATTGACTCCATTTTATCAACAATACCCTTTGTTAAATAGCTTTAATGTTTGAATATATTTAATAGGGGAATTTTTTTTAAAATAATAAATGAGCTGGATGATTGCAAAGAAGATCTTTTTATTTTTTTGTTTCTTTATGAGCAGCATTATGTCACGGGGCTAGTCTTTCGACCTGTGCAGCACTTAAACAATCTTTATTGAAAGTTGCTAAGTAAGCTTAACTTATATGAAAGGAGGATGCTTGGCTAAGTTGAGGAAAAGGAAAGCTTGAGAGCAAAGAATACTTGGAAGAGAGTTTGGAGAATGTGAGAATAGTATTACTTTGAGAACTCAAGGTTATGTGTTACAAATGAGGAGGTGTGAGGTATTTATAAACCTCCCCCTTGATTTTAGATATTTCTCACCTCCTTAATGGATGGTGGAGATTGAATTGATCCTACAGTTACAAATGGTTATCTAGAATCCTCTCCTAGATATTTACAACAAATATCTAGATATTTACATGGAAAGATCTAGTAGCAAATATTAAAATATTGAGGCTAGAGTTGTGTAGACTTTTCTAGAATATTCTTGCACTCTCTAACACTCTTAAACTTATTCGGGAGCCTTCTGGAGGTTTTGGAATGTTCTAGAGCTCCTTAACCTCATGAAAAATGATGAATCATGATAGTTAGCTCTCGAGCTTGGCGAAGGCGAAAGCTCTAAGGCGGCCACTGTGAATGTTTTGAGAAAGAAGCATTAGATTGCAAAAAAAAAATCTACAAAGACACAAAGTTATTGAAAGGTTCCTATATAAAAAAATAATAATAAATAATAAAAAGTAAGCTCTATAACTTATATACTACTATAATTATGTGATGAGTAAGACTTCCTTTGTTTCTATTTATAGAAATAAATTTTGGATGATGGTTTTCTTATAAGACAAATTGTAAAATTTGAGGAGTATTTAATTTTTCCCCCCTAATATGTCCTTGTTGAGTGTATAAAATAACTTGCTAACAATGCTGCATTCTCCATCAAATATTAGCAAATTAAGCAGGCATTAAATAAAAGTAAAACTGAAAAAAAATGAAAATATCTTTAAGACATAAATTAGTTAAGTCAGCTTAATTAGTGTGTGAGAATTAAACAATTCTTTTCAATAAATAAAAACAGAGAGAGCAATAGATATTAGATTATGAGATGGATTCTATAATTTAATATATGGAATATTAAATTATATGGAATATTTTATTGTTTAGCATTTTATTTAAATTTAATTTTTAATTTGCCGGCAAAAAAAAGTTTAATTTTTAATTAAAAATATAGATGGAATAATTTATCTTGATAATAAAAAATTTGTCAACATCGTCCGTGCAGCGCCACGTGCATCCGACCAACGGTCATCAACTGTCACTCGCTTATTCCCAAGCGATTCCTCCTCACTCTCTTCTCGCCACCTCACTGCCCAAAGCCGCTTCCTCTGTTCCTTCTTTTTCTTCCTTTTCATCTCTCTCTCTCTCCCCCCACAAATGGAAAATTCCGAAGCTGGTGATCTTCCGATACGTTGTCTTCCCGTTCTCTTTCGTTACCCGGGTTCGATTCTTCTGCTGAATCTGCTTGTTGCTGCGGTTCGCTGCGATATTCCGACGACCCTTGAAGGCCCCTTTGAGCCCGTCACTGTTCCTTTCGATCCTAGTCTGCGCGGCATCGCCGTTGATTTGCCTAACACCGATCCTCGCGTTCGCCGCCTCGTTCAGGGTTTCGAGCCTGAGCAGATTTCAGTGTCTCTCTCGGCCAGCCATGATTCAGTTTGGATCTCATGGATTACAGGTATTTTTTATCTCTATTTTTTTCAATTAATTTATAAGAAAAACATATTTACTGCTTGACAGATTTGGTGAGTATTTATTTATTTTTGATTTAATATGGTCTAAAATGATTGTAATATTACCTTTTCATTCTATCTCTACTCAAAATTTAACGCAAAATCTAGCATTCTGCCGAACCATTAACTCTCACCTCAGCTCAGGCGATAACTAACAATCTGTCGGAATTACCGGGGACTAAAATTGAGTTTTTCTCTTATTTTATTGCTTGAGCTATATTTCACTGGGTGGATTTCTTGTTTCAACGTGCATTTCACTGGGTGGATTGAATCAAATTTTCTAAGCGTTAAAGCAAAAATTCATTTTAGTTTTTATCAGTATCGAATATTTTAATGTGGGGTATTGTCGCTATGACCTATTGATTGGGTCACATCACACTGTTTTAGACTTCAAAGGCTTCTCACTTAGAACATTTGGGTTCACTAATGTGCAGGTTGCACCTTAGATATTGAAATGCTAGTGAGTTTATTGATGAGGTTATCAATGAATTTGGAACTAAATCCATATAAGTTGCTGCTCTAACTCCATAAAAAGTTTAACCGTTTATTTATTGTTATGTGCAACGTGCTAAATGCAACTCCTTATAAGCCTCATGTCAACTCTTGGCAAGCGGTTTTTTTGAAGTTCAGGAATACATGGCTGGTCAGTCATGAATCTAGTGGACTTCTCCATGTAAATGTATAGAGACAGCTGTTTATGTGATTATGTCCATGTCTATAGCTAACTATACTAACATAAATGGAGTTCCATGCTCGGTCTTTCGTTATCAATTTGGAGTCACTTCTCTTTCTAGTTTTCTACAACACACTTCTCTTGAAATGGTCCAATTATCACTATTTCTTTTAGTAGAAGGTGAGTCTGTAACGAAGGAGATTTTCTGATCTATTCTAGAGATTAAGAATCAAGAGCAAATTTGCTAGAATTTATTGAATTTATTTGGAAAAAGATTTGTTTGTACCCCTGTCATATTCATATTCTTCTGTTGATCAAGGATCCTGAATTTATGGCTAATTCAGGGAAATTTCAAATTGGTGACAATATCAAGCCATTGGATCCTAAAGCTGTCTCAAGTACTGTTTATTACGGAACCTCAGAATCCGAATTAGTACATGAGGCTAGTGGTCATTCTCTCATTTACAGTCAGCTTTATCCTTTTGAAGGACTTCAGAACTATACCTCAGGAATCATCCACCATGTTCGACTTGCAGGTGAGCTTTGCAGATTTAGAATTGAAAGAAAACAGGTGGACACATCTTACATTACATCACTATATAACGCTTTCTTTTCGGTTTTCTTAATTCACTTATAGTTTGTTTATAAGATGCATGCCTCTTCATATTTTATAATTTTAATTGATAAGCACTACTTATGAGATTCCTCAATGGCTGCTCACTTCTGTACCAAGAATATAAACGTCAGGTGAGGGCTTTTTGACTAACCCACATTCATAAATTTCTTTTGGGGAGAAAGACAAGAGTTTGAGGGAAATTTGTCTAGAGTAAACCATAATGAGGATTCTTTTGCAGTCAATCGATGTCTCATTTACATCCTCTGTCAATCAGCAGAAACTGTCAATATCTCAGTAGAATTGTCCATGAATGAAATTTATTGGGGCTTTTAAACTAAATGTTCATTCATCTCAAACATTATCATTGAAAGTTTGGCTAAGTTTTTAAGCCATGACTCTTCAAAAAATGGATTGTGTAAGAATTTATCACATGTCATATAGTTGTATAATGATTTCAGTGTGAGACTTCAAAAAAGGATCATGGACATAACACAACACCTACAAATATTGTTGTGTCAGGGTGTTGTGTCTCTGGGGTGTCTAAGCTTCCTTGCCTACCCGTGTGTAGAAAGTTTAAGTAATTTCCCATATACATGTCTCATTATATCATTTTCGCCTGGAAAGTCACACGTTACGTTATTTTAACAGCTTTCACTCTATGCAGGGTTAGAACCAAGCACAATATACTATTATCAATGTGGAGACTCCTCACTAAAAGCAATGAGTGACATCTACCATTTCAAGACAATGCCAGCTTCTAGTCCACAGAGCTATCCAGACAGAATTGCAGTAGTGGGAGATCTTGGCCTTACGTATAATACAACTACAACCATCAGTCACATGATCAATAACAAACCTGATCTTTTCCTATTGATTGGTGATGTGACCTATGCAAATCTATACCTAACAAATGGAACTGGCTCTGACTGCTATACCTGCTCATTCCCAGAAAGTCCCATACATGAGACCTACCAGCCTCGATGGGATTATTGGGGAAGGTACATGGAAAAGTTGTTACAAACTTTTGACAATTTTTTTTGGCTGATGGGGCAACACTTTGCTTTTTTAACCTTTTATGCTACAATAACTGAATAATTCCAGGTTTATGCAGAATTTGGTTTCCAAAGTACCGATGATGGTGGTGGAAGGAAATCATGAAATAGAAGAACAGGCATTTAACAGGACATTTGTGGCTTACAGTTCTAGGTTTGCCTTCCCCTCTGAAGAAAGCGGGTCTTCATCCACGTTTTACTACTCCTTTAATGCTGGGGGGATCCATTTTATTATGCTTGGGGCTTACATTGGTTATGATAAATCAGGTATTAGTCCTTCTTTTTCCCTTTTCTAACCGTTTTTATTGTATAATCATTTTTAATTCAAGATATTTATTTTTTTGTTAGTGGTATTTCTGTCAGTGGACCTGTTTGTTTAGCCTCAATTGAAACATAGGTGTGCCTTGAAAAATGTAAAAATTGAAATTATATGTTTTGAAGGCCTGGCTCAACGGGATGATTAACTATGAGGACTTGTTTACTACCAGCTTAGTTTTGGAAAGCATTGGCCACAGACAAGGAGTGAGTAGCTCAAATGGACCAGCCTTTCTCATTAAGACTGAGTTAAGCTTGATGTACTTGGGTCCCATGTCTACCCATTCCCCTTTCTCCACTCCTTTCACGTCATGGACCTTTTATTTTACTAAAATAATAAATGGCAATAATCTACCAATATTCAATTTTGGAAGTTAATTAGCGTATTAACAATCAGGGAGAGAAAGGCTAATTGATAAAGTTTTGAATATGCTTAAAATCCATTAATATTTTCTTGGGTTTGAACTGTAGATGTTTTGTTTTTTGAATCGATGCATATACTGATTGAAGTTGAGATGATATGTTTTATTCCTTGTAACCTTTGGAAGTTAACTGTGACTATCCCTTGCCAGCTGAACAATATAAGTGGTTGCAAAGAGATCTGGCTAGTCTTGATAGGTCCATAACTCCCTGGCTTATAGCTTCTTGGCATCCTCCATGGTATAGTTCTTATGTGGCACATTACCGAGAAGCAGAGTGCATGAGGGTGGAGATGGAAGAACTTCTATACTCACACGGCGTGGATATAGTATTTAATGGGCATGTGAGTTATTTTCACCATTTAATATGATTGAATCCATTTAGGTTCATTAACTTGCTTCATGTCACAAGATCAACAATGAACCAATACAATAAAAAAGCTTTTGACCAGTGGCACAAGTCCTGATTCCTTACTGGGTTTTTTGCAGGCTTATGTATTGTTATGTTTATATTATAATTAATTATAACTTATAAGCCTTGGCTACTTCTGCTCAATATACAAATTTAATTAATCAAATATCAAATCTGAACGCTGAGGTAAATAAATGGCTCTATTTTGAAAAACAAATTGGAGACCTAAATTTCTATGAAGCAGATAAACAGATCATCTCGAGCTTGTGTATGATTGGCTTCTCTGCCTCCTACCTGTTTGTTGTCTGGAGGTTTACAAAAGTGCTTACACACACTTCATGATACACACAAATGATTTTAATGTTTAATGATCTTGCATCCTAAGGCTCAAGTCTTCACTCATTTGTTTGGTTTTTAAAATTGATGAGCAGGTGCATGCTTATGAGAGGTCAAATAGGGTTTACAATTACAGTTTAGACCCATGCGGTCCTGTCTATATTACTGTTGGGGATGGAGGTAACCGAGAGAAGATGTCAATCCAATTTGCAGATGAGCCTGGACAATGTCCCGATCCATCAAGTACTCCTGATCCTTACATGGGAGGCTACTGTGTAACAAACTTTACATCTGGTCCTGCAGAGGGTCAGTTTTGCTGGGATTGGCAGCCGGAGTTCAGTGCATTCAGAGAAAGTAGCTTCGGCCATGGAATTCTAGAGGTATCAATTTCTTCATGCACATGTAATATGACAAAACTTCCTTCTTGAAAAATATGTCCGGGAATTCAAAACTTGATGGCATGGCATATCTTTTTAAAAAGAAGTTGAAATTTAGAAAGAAAATACCTTACATTCATTCCTTCCTTCATTCAATATTACAAGGCACTTTTTTCAAAGTATCATGTTAAAAAAATATGAAGCATTTTGGGTCTTTCAAAGTACAAGTAATAAAGTTTTTCCAAAAATATCCTCAATTATGGGGGTGTAATTAGTAAGGTTTTCTAATTGAGATACCTTATTGAATAAGAGTAAATGTGGAAAAAGTGTGTAATTTTAAAGATAATTAATTAACTCATTGGGATGTGTGGCTCGGTTAAAAATATCTTGTAATTTCTAAACAGAGGGAGTATCAAATTTAGGTCTTCTCTTGTGACTTGAGATCAAATGATCAACAGGCGAGTGAGGGGAAGAGAGAAACAGAGCATAGCTGCATAGGGGATCCCATTCCCAACTATGTGAACCCGACATCTATCTTCATATTCTCTGGAGTTCTCATGTCATAATAGAGGATCCAACATATCAATGCATAACCTTTTGTTTGATCTTGTTTTTTATGTTTTTTTTTTTTACTGAATATTAATTTTCAATATAAGCAACATCTTAGCATACAAACGGAACCTGGGTTCATATATCCCTGTCAACCATACGGAAGTCTGCACTAAGTCTCACTGAGCTGAACCAAGTAGACAAACTCCTGGATTGTGTTCTTTTTGAGGAAGATATAGGATAGAAGATTTATAGGTTCCTAGAGAGCTATTAAGCACTAAAACTGATAGACACTGCACAATTTGATATTTGTATTACATGCATTATGTCGAATTTGTATCCTCTCTAGTTTCTCTTCCGCTTGTTTAGTAGCATTTCCATGCTACTTTTAATCTTAGCCCTCCATGCAAGAGGGGCCAAGATTTTACTAATTTGTTTTAAATAAATTTTTGCGAGTGCAGAAATAACAGATAATACATTTACTAATATGTTTTTTATCAAGTGTCCGAACTTTTGCTAATCGCTTAGGGAGTGCTTTGATATGTAATTTTCAGGTAAAAAATGAGACATGGGCTTTGTGGACATGGTACCGAAACCAGGACGCAGGCAATAGAGTGGGAGATCAAATTTATATTGTGAGGCAACCTGATTTATGTCCTGATCATTATGAAAAGCTGAAGGTCACAGCTACCATGTGATCACACTTAAGATTCTTGTTTGTTTTGCTATAGATTCACAGTGCGTGTGAAACAATGGGACGAAGAATTCCAAGTATTGTACTAAGATATCAATTTGGGAATGAAAACTGCTTTTTCAAAGTACCTTAATGTCTTTTTTCTATTTTGACGCCAAAAAAAATGTCCCTTTATTTTTTATATATATATATATATAACTGTATAATTGGATCATATTCATTGTCAAGTTTAATTGAGAATAATTCTCCCAACAACATTTTTTTGTAATCACGCGAATTTGAAATTGAGACCTAATGTTTAATCAAAATATCTGAATATTATTGTGGCAAGCCAAGCCTAATTTTATTGTGTCCAAACCTTTTCTGTTTAAAAAGAATGGACCGGGCCCATAAAGCTAGCCTTGGCCTGGAGAGTAATGGCGACTGAGTAAAGCAAGATGATGTATGGAAAAAATTCATAATTAACCATGTGAGTGTGGTGTAGTGGCTATCTCACTTTGTCCTTTAAGCATGTGGTAGGGCATTTGATTCCTCATTTATGCGAATGGAGAGCACTCTATGGCCAGCTGTTTGCCCCCTTGTGAGAGACCCCACGGTAAAAAGATTAGTCACTGTTACTAGCAGTGAATACCTTGAGCAACTAAAAAAAAAAAATTCATAATTGAAAAGTTACTATCATCATTTAGGCTCAATGATATATTCATATATAAATGAATAGTATTAGATATAAATAGTTATGAAAATATGTATAGTATATATAATAATTTACATGTGCTATCTATTTTATTACTCTAGTTTAAACCTTGAGATAAGAGATTTTTTTTTAAAAAAAGTTAAACATAGTATTAAAATTCAAGTCAACCTAGTTAGTTAAACTAATAACTCGATAAACTAACGTATTGACCAAATCAATGAAATGTTTTGTTCATAACCAGTTTGATTATAGTTTAACTATAATTTTAATCATTAAACATTGGATCAATACCTTAACTAGTTAACTAGTTCAACAACCAATTTAGTTTTTAATATTTTTTTTTTGTAGTAAACCATCTAGTCAACAATTTAGATTAATCTAGTGTGAGTGGGGTTAGGACCCTTTTGAGGAGAAGTTCTACCATTGTCCACCAAATATTGCTGCATTTTCAAGATTTGAATTTGAAATCTCTTACTAGACATTTAGACTAGTATAACTCTCTTGTAGTTGAACTAAACACTTGTTTAGTTAAGAACACTAGGTCAAGAGAAGGTACGAATAGTTAAGAATAAAATCTAATTTAAATTTTAACTCAGATATATGCTTATTATACAATTAAAAATTTAAAACATTTTAGCTAAAAGGATTTGGTATCTGATTAGAGCCAATACTCTTTTCATCTGCAAGTATCTTTAAAAAATATCTCGGACTTTTTGCTGGTTTTTGAGTCGTTGTTTGTTTTCTTTTTCTTTTTTTTCTATTTTTAAAGGGTTGTGTTTGTTTGAGTTTTGTTTTTCGATATTATCTTGTCATTTCTCTAGCCTAAGTCTTGTCTTTGCTTTATTTATTTATTTATTTATTTTTGTTTCTTTGCACTTTTCTGGGCCTTGGTTATCCATAGCTACTAGCTTTTCAGTTGCAATTGTTTTTTGCTTTTCTTTGTTTAATAAAGTTGACGGTTTTTCCCCAAAAAAAAGAGTGATCAAACAAAATTATAACTGAACTAAATTGCTTAAAATATTTGATGATCACTTGAAGTGATCAATATTTATTAAAATAATAACTTTATTTATTAATTTTATAATGTTTACTTATTAAAAATTATGGATTGGTTAAAAACAACCAGCCAACTTTATATGAAGGTGTGAAGTGCGAACATGCACTTAATCTTTAGAAAAGTTTACATCATATGATAATCATGTTCATGGACAATTGAAATTATAAATCACAACACTCTTAAGCTCTTTCTTTGCACTTCTCTTTACAGATCAGAATTCACGGCCTTAACGCGCGAAATTTGTCTTTAAAAAAAAAAAAATGAAAGAACAACAACAGAGTAGGGAAAAAATTCAAAATTCCCAGCCCAGCAAATTGAAAAACAAAATCAATTATGAAAAGAAAAAGTGTTATGTGGATCAGAAAACCTCAAGAATCTCCAAGATGAAATTGTTGCAGAGGGGGCAATTTCCCTTGCTCACAGTGAGCTCCCTGGAACACATCCTGCAAAACGAGTGCCCACACGGCACAAAAGCCGCACCTCTATGCTTCACCATGCACACGCAGCAATCGTGCTCCTCACCTCCTTCGTCGTCTTCATCATCCTCATCAAAATCCTCGTCGTCATCGTCTTCCATTCTGTACGTCGATCCTTCGAGCCCCATTTGCCTATCCGTCTCCTCCAACAGGTCCATCAGCGACATTGTCACCCCGCGTCCCCCAGCCCCGAACGATTCTTCCTCTTCGTCTTCATCATCTTCCTCCTCCTCCGCCATCGCTGCCGCCTCCGCCGCCTCCTGTGCAGCCACAGCTTCCCTAGCAGACATCTGTCTCTCCTCCCTCGGCTGGCGCATGTGGCCGTCCTCGTCCTCGTCGTCATCGCTTTCAATGTTGTCTCGAAATGTCACCACGCGCTTTCGCCGGATGGAATCCGCCCGCACTGCCGCCGCCAGGCGTGCGGAGTTCGGGCGGGAAATCTGAGGCTTGAGTTTATCGTCGACGAAAACGGCATCTCCGACCTGGCGCGTGGATCTCTGGCGCGTGATTGCGGGAGCGAGGTGGGAACTCTTGATGGCTTCTTCGGTGGGATCAGCCATGCAGTGAGTGGTGACGTCCAGGGGGGAGAATGTGAGGACTCGGACGGAGCTACGACGGGGAAGCTGTGGGGGGAAGTTTCTGTTATTCCGGATAGGGAAAGGGATATCTGAGGCAGGGATAAGGACGGAGGAAGTCCAAGCAGATCCGGCGCGTTTGAGCCGAAGCTTGTCTTTGAAGGCTTTCCAAGACTTGCGATCCCTATTGGCGGACTCGTCTTCACGGATGATGTCAAGGAGGGTTCGACGGTTTGTGTTTGTGAGCTGATGGCTCGACGCGGCGGCTCGGTTGGCTAACACGTCGTCGAGGGTTAATCCGGCTAGCGAGTCTCGTTGGCTATCCGCCAATGGCATTTCACCATAATCAGGTATTCTCCGGCGACCTTCTGCTTTTATTTTATTTTATTTTATTTCAAATTTTTTCCACGCCAAAAATTACCAGAAAACTCATTATGGTTCACATTTTCATGAGAACATTTAGGAAGGGAAAATAGAAAAATGCATTAATAATGCACAGACAAAAGTGGGTCAAAACATTTATGATTTAACACGAAAAAAAGTAGAAAATGAAACGGAACATTGCAAGGCACAAAGAACAAGTCAATAATTATTAGCCAAAGAAAATAATATCATTTAAATTTGAAATTAATTCATTAGTGAATATTTAAAAAATTAACTTCAAAACAATTTAAACCTAAACATAATTAGGTGGATTCCATGTAGAGTATAAAGAAAGTTGAATCATTCATAATATATGAACACTGAAAAACGTTTGGCAAAGTAAAAAGAAGTTGCAATGAAAATGATATAGATGTTAATGACTAGGACGGGAACAAATGATCTTGCACGCACAAATAACATCGGAGCTTCTTGCGAGATTTAGATGAGTGAGTGGCACATATCTACTCATTCAATGAGCATCTCAAATGATATGATAATCCTTAAAAATTTTGTTATAAAATACTCAGGAAATGCTAAATCTCAAATTTTTTTAGAGGACAAGCATGTGAGAAATGTATTGTTAAAGTAAGGATTCAATTATAATTAAGACACTTTTTGGACAGAAATATGCTTTAATAAATTTTAAATTTTAATGAAATCTAATAATTATAATTAAGAGATTCTTTGACGGAGTAAATTTAACCTGCTCACCGGATTCAATGTCCAGATCAAAATGAACAAGAACGAAATGAAAAGACAAGCTAATTACCTGGCCCCCCCAACGGAAATGGTATGTCTATCGATTAGATAGCAATAACGATGCGTTGAATCAACTTACTATTCTGAAAGTGACAACCCAGAAAACATGATTTCATCAACAAGGAGAAAACGAGGAAACATAAGTGACTATATTACAGTAAACCTCATTAAATTGAAAATCTATCATAGCTACAGACAAAGAAGATGGGTGGAGAGATCATCAGGTGGATTACTGTTGAATCATGCTTCTTTTATAGATGAATGTGTAACCTTGTGATAGTTCTTGTTCAAGTCTCCTGATCGACGATGTTGTATAATTTGCAATGGGTTGTGAGTAGACAGAGAAAAAGAGAACAGAAGGGGAAGACCTGGGAAAGAGAAGATTGGGTTTTGAATAGCGAAACGAATTTTATGGAGGAACATACAAGCCATCGTCCTTCCCCTTGTTTGCGGAGAAACTTTCTTTTCATCTCACAATCTCATGCATCAATTAATTTTTTAGTTACAATAAACTAGAAACAAACAAATATTTATAGTAGATATATATATCCCTAAGACTGCATGGAAAAATAATTTAAAGAAAGAGAAAATGCAATGGGAATGTAAAGTATTCTGCTAGTTTCTTATGACATTTCTTTCCGGAAGACATAACTTTGAGTTTATGCAGTTTGCTTGTATTTTATCATTTATCCTTGCATTTTTTTTTCAATGTTTTAAGTTGTATTTTTGTTTTTTAATGTTTTAAATCTCTCCACGAACAAAGCATAGGAATTTTGGAGAGAATTAAAATATCAAAAGACAAAGGTGCAAGAGTTTAAAATATTAAAAAAAAAATGTAAGGATCAATGGCAAATTGCAAGAACTTAAAATTATATTTTTCCTTCCTTTTTGGTACTAAACAGGCCAGGATTTTGAATATGGGTAGGTTGCTCCTCAGGGGTTACAAAACCAGGATGCTTATTTTATAATTTAATGTTATATGAAGTTAAGAAATCAATTTAAAATTTTAATGAAATTAAAAGATTCCAATTGCAAAAATTATTCATAATAATTATGAAATCAACTTATTATATGCTATTTATCAACAAAGACAATCCCATTAATCAACAAGATTTGTATAAAATTTTTCCAACAACTAAAGAAATACACACACGTATATAATATAGCCCAATATGCCAGCTCCGCTCAATTTGACCAAGGTTGATTTCTTTCTTTTTTCTTTTTTATTTTTATTTTGGCTTGGCTCGAAGTAACTTGGCAACACCAAGCCAATCTGCGGTCCACAGGCATATCTCTCATGACATAGTATTAAAAAAAACATGTTTAGTATTAGAGAGAAATTAAACACACACACACAGTGGGGGGTCTTATAAAATAAATATACATTTATTTTTAATTTAGTGCCTCATAGGTCTAAGTGTTCGATCTGACTCAGTCATTGCAGTGCGTTTACTTACACAGCCATTTTTAACTCTTTCCTGTCATCTGTCAGTTGTTTTTTTTTAAAAAAAAAAAACTGAAAACTATGATTGACTAGGGAAGAATAGTCATCAGTCACTCTAAGCATGAGCAAAACCATTTCTCAAATCCATCAGTATTGTTGATATCTGAATTTCAAAGGCAAATACAAAATTATCAGAAACTTGGGTACATTTGGTTGATTTGGTTCTGCTGAATTTTCATTTCAATTCTGCTCCTAAGACATGTTCAGTCCCTAAGATCTTGTTTGGTACAAAAGATTGACGTGGTAGAATTGAGATTGGTATTAAATAATATCACATTTTCATGTTTGGTATGGGATAATAAGAAATTTAATCTCAATTCCAATCTCATCTATGAGGGATTGCTCAATATCATTCACCCTTTAGTATTAGAAAATCAATATTGTAATTCATTATTTTTTGACCGAAATACCTTCCACCCCTTCCTTCTCATCTCTCCATTTCTCCTCACAGCCACGATGGTGATGGCGACACTAACACTTCCCACAACCACACACAAGCACAACGGCAATGCTTGAACTAGGAAGAAGAAGAAGAAAGGAGGAGGAGGAGGACAGCGATATTGGGTAATAATAACATAGAAGAATGATGAAAAACTAGAATAGCAATAAAAAGCCCTCGTGCATGGTTGGAAAGCAGAGGCAATGGCCTTTGGTGCTATCGTGGTTGCTCTCTAGGGAGGAGGAAAGTGATCGAGGTGTTAGATGAGATAAGATCACAATTGTTTCTTTTTATTATTTTAAGGGTATTATAGTCTTTTTATATTTTATATTTAATTGAAAAACATGAGGTAAGTATTGCCTTTAAATATTACTTTATACCAAATACAATTTAAAAACATCATTCACACTCTTACACCTATAACCAATCCCTTTAAATCAAGGCTTTTATACCAAACAGGGTCTAAGATCTCTTTGCTATTATGTATCAAATCAGTCATACCATAGATTGTTAAGATGTCCTTTCATGAACTCCAAGGTAGGATTTTTGGCATTTATTAGACTTCCATAAATGGGCAGAATCAATCTCATCCATGCTTAGCTTACCTTAATTGTGAATTAGCCTAGTGGTAAGCTTGCCATTGGCTTAAACCCAAATGTACAAATCTTCATCCAAAATTTCCTGGATCATTAAAACATTGTTATTTGTTATGTAAGTAAAAATTATGGTTTTCAAAAGGTAATGGTAGTTTTCTCTTAATTGGTCAAGCTCCCAAATATAATATAGAAATCCAAGTCAACCTACCAAGTTAAATTATTAAACCAGTATCTTGATCAATTTGATTAAATATTTTGTTTATCATTGGTTTGATAATGGTTTGACTATGATTTTGATTATTAGCCCTTGAATTAATATTTTAATTGGTTCAATGACTAGCTAGGTTTTAAATACATTGCTCTCAATTGAAAATAACTAAGATAAGAGTTGATATTGTTCAATAACTGGCCAAGTTTTCAGTAGAACACTCTCAATGTAAATAACTAAGGTAAGAGTTTTTTTTTTTTTAGGCTAACCATAACTAATGTAAGAGTTGATGTTGTATACCAATATATTAACATTTTTAAGATACATAATACATTATTTAGCCCCTTGCTCCAAGGTTGTGTTGTTAGATTGTTGTAAAAAAAATTTAATTTAATTAAATAATAAATATATATTAAATATATAAGGTTAAGTACATAAATCTTACCTTTATAAGAAATAAATGTTACGAGTATTTATTAATGCATTTATTAAACTTCTCAAAAAATCAATAGAAGTAATTTTCAACAATTGTATACTCAATGTCAATATCACAATTATATAGCTCTCTAAATAGTTTATTTTGTTAGTATATTAACATATTCTTTATTATGGAATTCAACATTTTCACCATATTATACAATCATTTTTTTAGTAGTCATTATCCATATAAATAATCCTTATCACATTTATATCTTATGATATCTAACCCCAAGATGCATTAATCAAAAAAGAATTTGAGAGCAAAAAATAAAAAGGAATGAGTTGATGTGGGCCCTACAACTAATAAACATAAAAATGTTAAAAAAAAAACATATCATTGCATTTAGAAAAAAAAATAGTAAGCCCTACTATTATTATTAATTCTATAGTTTAATGAATTGTGAAAAATTTCTTTTTTATTATATGCTCCCTCTGGTCTTATTTATAAATTATTTCTACTAACTTTATCAATGCCAATATAATACAAGTATAAGGAATAATTATAAATGAAATTTCAAAAGTAACCCTCAATGAAAAGGGCAAAAAGTAAGTTAATATAGTATCATTTTTCAGTATTTCTCTCTCCCTTACTTTATAGATATTTGACCAAAAAAGTTGCTAAATTTTCTGGCGAGAGTTGAAAAACATCGGCAGTTGAATTTTGCAAAAGTTAGCTCCCTTTATGAGATAGTCAAATTTTAGAATTGAAAAAGAAAAAAACAAAAGCTCAGAATATTCACTCTCCACCATGAAAAAGTGCTCCCTCTCCTTTGATTTAAATGTTTCAGCCAATGAGAAAGATAATAAGGACAACAACACCATTTATTTGGACTTAAATGCTCCTACCATGTGTGAGAATGTCCAACTAGACAATAATAAAAATGAAGGTTAACATATTAAAGTCAATGAAGAAAGAAATGATAAGAACATCTGTCTTTATGAAAATCATGAATATCCCCATGTAAAATTTACATTGTGAAAACCTATAAAAAGGATGAATAATAAAAATATGAAACTTAATACCTTTAAAATCACCAACAAAGAAAATTTTTAACTCGGACAACATAAAGTAAAAAAAAACCATTCTATTTCTAAAATTAGCATTTTGACCTCCAACTTTAAACTAACCTGTATAAGACATTCACAATTCACATAGAGTTGGATTTGGGTATGTTAGGAGTCACTTAGCCACATACGGATAGGCAAGCTATTTGACATATAGAACTGGTTATCACACTGGAATGAGGTATGACTAAAAGAAATTGAAAGACAAACTCAAACATTTAAATTACAATAGTAAAGATATATCGATGCAGATGTGAAAAATGCATTTTTTAATGTGATTAATTTTTATCAAAAAAAATTTAGCCTCCTTAGTCATTCTGGATATGTTTAATTGCCTAAATTAAATTATATGAAACCACGTAAGTGAATACTCATCTTACTAACTCATAATATAGTTAAAAATAGAAAAGTGAACATGTAGATATTCTTCTTGTCCCTTATAGTCAATTGTTACAAGTTGTTATAGTACATAGTCATAAACATATGGCTAAATGGATTATTGGATTTCACTCTAATTTATTCCTTTTGTACAAAGGATTTCATTAGAAGAAATAAATATGACACTGGAGATGGAAGTTTCAGAATGATTTTTTTTTTCTAGTGAAAGATCATTGGTGGAAAATATTGACCTTGTAATGCAAATTTTATTAAGACAGATTAGTTGCATTGACCATACCATCTCTAGATCATTGAGACATATTAGTTGCATTAACCCTACCATCTCTTATTAAGAATGGATAATCATTTGCTCACTTGTTATAATCATTTGTAACATTTAATTGTATGACTATACTCAAAATCTTAAAAATTCAACACCTAAACTAGTTTTATGTAGGTTTGTGCTTTTCAATAAAAATGTTGATATTCTAAATTCCAACTAAGACACTACCTTATCCCACATCCTGCTAAGCATCTCAATTGTAATTTAGAAAGTTTCGCAAAATATATGGCGAATCTTAGCTTAGATTAGAACAATCACTTTGGTTGGATGTCAAATATACATAGTACTTAAAGTTAAAAAAAATCTATTTTTGGGTAAAATATAAGGAGAAAATACTAT